TATATATATATATATATATATATATATATATATATATATATGCAAATTTAAAGAGCTCTGTACAGTAGTAAAAATCTTATTCTTGGTTTATTTTTTATTATGGAATTGAAATTGGATCCTTTGGCTGCAGGTAAATGAAACACAGGCAGGCAGTGGATTAATCCATCTTTCTTATTAAAATATGACTACCACTTTAATTGAGACGTAGCCAATTACATATTCAAGTATTTGCAGCTCGATAGGCTGAATTAGCCAATCATAAATGCTGTCTGCTGCCATTGGCTGAGCTCCTGAGAGAGCTCTAAACTGAGCTTAGAGGGGGGTGGGGATGCGGGGGCTCTGGATCTCTTCTGCACTCTCCCATTCAACCTCTGTAGTCAGCAGAACGAGAAGCTGAGAGGAGCAGCGCAGCGCAGCATCCACAGCTCCTGCATCCTTTAGATGAGTCGGCTCAGAGGAAGAGAAGAGAAAAAAAGATCCTATCTGGCAGAGAAAACAGACGAAGGCAGGTGGAAAGTGGATGAAGCGCACAGAGGGAGAAAGAGGGCAAAATGACAGGACCTAAGTAAAAGGTGCTGCCTGAGGACAACTGCAGCGATACTAAATCTGGAGCTGTCAGGACAACCCTCAGAGAGCCAGCAAGTGAGAAAGGCAAAGAGAGAAGGAGAAGAGAAGTGGATTTAAAGAGATTATCTTATCACTCTGGACAAGCTAAGATGGGAAACAGGAGAGTATCTCCATCATCAGATCAAACTTCACATAAGGGAAAATCCTTCTAAACATCAATTGGAACCTCATTCTTCAGGGAAAAGATATATCCTAGTTGTTCCTAAAGCTAGTGGAACAAACCTGACACAGGACACCCACTGCTGAACTGCTGAGTGCATCTGGTATCTCTCCTCACCTCGTCCCCTTCAGACCTCCATCACACCAAGCTGCTCCTGCTGGATGTCTTCTCTGCATGCTCTCCCACTGCTCAGCAGTTGAAAAACACTCATGGTCGATGCCAAGGGAAGGAACATGAAATGTCTGACTTTCTTCTTAATGCTACCTGACTCAGTGAAAAGCAAGTCAAGCAAAAGCTCCAAGAAAGGGAATGCCAGCAGCAGCTCCAAACTGCCCCCAGTCTGTTATGAGATAATTACCTTGAGGAGCAAGAAGAAGAAGAAGATGTCTGCGGAAATTTTCCAAACCAAGAAGCCGGCGTCCACCCCCAGCACCACCACCACTACCACCACGGTGCAGGACTACCAGCAGCAGAACATCAACAACAACAACACAATACAAAACTGCAACTGGCAGGGGCTCTATTCAACTATAAGAGAAAGGTACATATGCAAATCAAAATTTCTTTGCACTAAAACACATAATACTCATAACTCCATTTTAAATTTTATTTTTGTTAGGTTTTTTTTTTGATAGTTTCTTCTCATCTCCAGAAAATGTTCTAACTTTTAAATATCCGTAAAAAGACTTTTTAAAGCGGACCTGATTTTCCTCTAAAAATTCCTGTCCTGTATCTTAACATCCCATTCCTTTCTCTGCTGAGTAACATTGGAAGAGTAAAAGGTTGACATTAGCAGGTTGTGGTAATTGAATTATCAGCTTTTTTAGCTTGCATGCAGCCTCAAGTTAACAGATACTGCTTGTGGCTTGCAAACTATAGGTTTAAAACAGCATTAAGAGAAGCGTGATGCATGTCGGTCCTCATATCTGTATACAGTTCTTGCTTTTTACAACTAGAAATCCTTTCAAACTGTGTTCATGAGTTGGTTGTGTAGGAACTCTCTTTCAGCATCTGACAGGCAGTGCTAAGCAGTCAGCTTGGGAGGGGCAGCCCTGCATCACACTGTTTAAATAGAACATTTTATTGGTCAATCCAGTATTTTCTATGAAATTTCATTGAAACAAACCTAAAATGTAAAGGTTTTTAGTTTTAAGAATATAAATGTTCTACACCTTAGCATCCCTTAACAGCAATAACTGGTCCATGCCTCATTATGGGTGTTCCCTCAGCACTGACCTCAATCTGTGGGGGACACCTCTGTTGACAGCCTCTCCCATTCCTGCAGAGTTCGCTCCTCTGATATGACAGAAAGCAGACAGGCAGCAAGTGTGTTTGATATGCACAACAAGCAGAGCCTAATCTGTGCTAAAAGCCAAATATTTACTTTGGTCTTTCTGCAAAAAGGCCCCAGCTGTTCGAAGCAAAACATGGGTTTTTATTTTAGACCTTGCTTTGTTGTCTTTCCAGAACATCAAGAGGGCTGTTTACCCACCCCAGTGATATGAACTTAATAATATATGAGCATAGCTTTATTGTTGGTTCTATTCTTTCACAGTAGGGGATTTCCATTAAGTTTATTATCTTGTTCTCCTGTCCTCATAAAAAAAAGAAATTAAAATGAATGATATGAGAAAAATCTATTGGTGTCTGATAAGATTGTTTTAGTTTAACTGAAGCAAGATGGACAGTGCAGAATATGAATGCTACCATGAAATAAAACCCATCGACATACACTAATTTTGTCTTTCTGATTCTCTTTACTTTTAGAAATTCAGTGATGTTCAACAATGAGCTGATGGCAGATGTTCATTTTGTTGTGGGTCAGCCTGGAAGGACCCAGCGGCTTCCAGGCCACAGAGTAAGAATACATATACTTGAAAATAATGGTAGCATTAAAGAAATGTGACAAAAGGAAATCAGTGTTCATATAAGCTCTTACCATAGAAACATGAATTTAATTTTCCTCATTTCTGTTCACCCATGGAGGTAAAATCTTTAGTGCTGTGCTCACTTTTGTACCATGTGTCTTTTTGAGGCAGTCATCAATTATTTATGTAAATTAGACTGAGAGTGAACAAAAGGCGGAAGGGGTCTCCTCCTCAGCAGTCATCTCACAGAGAAGAGATTTGCCCTAGTCTTAGTTGAAAACATGCTTTTTTTAGACTGACATGGATATAAGTAACTTTTAATGCAACACAGAGGAAAGACAAGGCATTCAGACTTAAGGCTGGTTTATGCTCAGAAACCAGGTCGTCTGTGTGTGTGCCGCAGTTAACGCAGATATGTCCCTGCCCCTTTTGCAGACACTCTGCTGCACCTCTCCAACATTGCAGGTGACCACAGACAGTGCCGCAGACAAAACGCTTCTGAATGGTCAGATCTACATCCACCCTACACTATGTGTATTTCCTTTTTGGTACCATACTAGCCTGTTTTTTGTTTATGACCGCCATTTTGGAAAATGACTTGTGAATAAGGACCAGCTGCAAGAGCGAGGAGCGCCAGAATGCTGGGACCCTTTTTCCACCTGGATCCCTGCTGTTTTTCGCCCTTGTGTCCCTCTGTTGTCGCACAAACTTGCCCCCACTTCCTCACCTCACTCGCCGTATCTAGACCCACAGCTATTTGGTTATTGTCACTCTTGCATTGTGGCCTGGAATAACATAGCGCAGACCACGCTTCAAAATTGGGTATAAATAAAAAAATATCTGCGTCATACCTGCGAGAAGCTCACTGCGACACCGTGCTGCGGAAGTACAGTATAACCAGCCCTTTAGAGTGTTTCAATACCTGAGATGTTTAGTCCATCTTAAACCAAATTGGATTTGTTTTCCTTCTTGGTACTGTATATTTGTGCAGTTGTGAACAGAGCCATTGCACTTCGCTGTTGACTAGAACAGCCATACCAAAACCACCTCCTCAAATGGTCTTGGTATAAGGATTTTTTTAGGCTTTGAATGTGATTCACGCGATTCAACATAACCAGATGCATAAGGGTTTTGCAAGCTTGTGGCACACACTCTCCTGCAGGAAGCTTTATATTGCAGTACAACAACAATGGTTTTGTGTCTTTTCTGTAAAGCATAAAGCTATATGCAACTTTACAGATGGGTTATCAAAACTTTTTCATCAACTAATTAATATATTTGCCTGAAAAGGACACTACAGACACAGTATCCTTATTGCTGCTATCTCAGAGAATTTAGTGCCTCTATCTCAGTCACATGTGCCGGACAAAATGTTTTAGCTCTGTTTTTAGTGACAGGCGTTCATTATCAGCTTTTTATGTTTGAAAAGGAACTAAGGCATCCAAAAACATTAAAAGTGAAAAGATTAAAAAATTGGTTGGACCAAAGTAAATGAAAAATAAGTGTGCAAAATGCCTTATGAAGATGTTTGCATTCATCTAATGTTTGACTGCTATAAAGCATTTGCACATGACAACATTCAAACTGTGTTTTCACAACAAATATAATTTTTGTAGTGGTAACCTTAAATGCTAAGCCATTCAGATTTACAGTAGTTTTATGGTCAACTTGTTACTTGATGTTCGTCCTCTGTACATGTCTTCTGCCCACTCAACCCATTGCTTTTTAAGATGTTCAGATAAATATTTAAGATCTACTTTCCCTTGGACCATATGCCTTCTGTGAACCCACTTTAACTTTTATGATTACTTTCTTTAAAAACAATTACTAAAGATTAATCTGCTAAGTTACTTTACCTCCTTAAATCTGCCCTTCCAGCCAGATTGGCTTCCAATAGCTTTATTTCTTCCATTAGGTATATTATAGTCCAAATGAATTATATATGATTAGGAGCGGCAGTGTCCTTTGTGCGTGTAGAGAGAACAGTTATGGAAGGATGATTTGATGGCCCTTTATGCTGAGACATTAAACCAATAGGATATAAAGATGTTCAGTTCTTTAATCTTCTTCTTTTTTTTTTGGGTTGGCAGAAACTTACACACTTGTTATCTTTACAGGTAGTTCCTTGCCAAACAAGTAAACAGCTAAAAGCCTGGTGATTAAAATATCTGATAACTATACTAGAAAATTAACAGAATCATTCAATATTTATTTGGTCTTTAAGGCCAAAAACAATAGCTTTACTTGTGTGTCCTAATAATGAAGGAGTCATATTTTAAAATTGTATTCTAGCAATTGATAATTACTTCTTTCCAAGTGCTCCCCACCCTACTGGCTGCAATTTAAAGAAATTCATTTGTGGAAATGTATGCCACCCACATAGTCACCTACACATACTTACAAAAATGGTTCCACACAAAGATCCAAAGCCTAGTTTATAAACATGATTATGGATCCCACGGATTATAAGGGAAGTGTGCCTATTAATAAATGGTGATGGTTGCATCTTATTTCATCATGAATTCCGATAAATCATTAATTCCAGCAAACTAAATCTTTAGAGCACTCTGTTAAGTATCTAGAAATCTGCCTCCTTGTCCGCTGGGGGAAAAAAAAGAGCTGGCGAAGTACTGCCAAGAAAATCGAAAGATAAAATATTTCCTCGACTTAAACTAAAATCGGTGCCTACTCAGATACTTGGATAACATCTTATATATTCACAGAACCAGACTCAGGCTCTTAAATCAGTTTGTTTACTCTCAACAGATTGATGCACAGACATGATCTATTGAGTCATGGTTACCTCCATTTTTTTTTTAAGTGCTCATATGTGTTTTACAAAATTGTCTGTATAAAATAATTAAGAGCCTTTCTCAGTAATTATTGGGAGAGCTTTCGTTTGCCATCACAGGCATCAGACAGTTGTTCTACAAACAAGCTCTATGCACATTATTATAGACCATCATCTCTGCACAAATTGTCTGTCTGTCTGTCTGTCTGTCTGTCTGTCTGTGTGTGGTCAGATGCCAAATGATGATATACATGAAAGCTCTAAATGACTAACCAGATCGTTATTTCAAACTTAATAGTTGGTAATGGAAAGAAGCAGAGATCCTACTTTCCATGTGGATTTTTGATTGATATTCTCTCATTTCTAATGTTTTGTTTTTTCTTCTTTCCATAGTATGTTTTAGCTGTGGGAAGTTCGGTATTTCATGCCATGTTTTACGGCGAACTTGCAGAGAACAAGGATGAAATCCATATACCAGATGTGGAACCAGCAGCATTTCTTGCAATGCTAAAGTAAGGAGGGTCTGATTGTTGTTGTATTTTAACTTTTTTTCCAGGATTATTGTTGCTCAGTTAAGTTTTGGATTAGATGCTCAACGCTTTAATGACCAAGTATGTCTTTGCAAATGAATCAAGTGTGTTTTCTGTACAGCGGCCTTCATTGCTTTAGATCTGTTCTTAAACTATATTAAGAAAAGAAACTCAAATAAAGAAGCTCCAAGTACCTAATGAAAAGAAAATATTCATTGTCAACTAGTTTATTATATCTATGTCAGCTTATATGTCCTACAGAAGGTGTTACGTATTTTTTTAGAAACATCCGATGTACAATAGAATTGAGTGGATTGTGGATTCTAGGGCGGTGAGCTGCTTGGGTTCTGCTCCAGCACAGTATCCCCAAACCATGAAACCTCCTCCTACATGTTCCACAGTTAGTAGTGGGTTCCTCCCAAAAATGTGTTATTATAAAAGTACTCTAGAGAACAAAATAATCCAGTTTTTGACTCACGTGTGAAGAGATTATTAGGTGCTGATTTTTGTCTATCATTACGCTGAGTTTGCTCTTCATTTTCATCATAGAGGGCTAAGGTTTCCTCTCTGCAAAACCTCTCATGAAAGTTAAACTTGCTTAAACTTGTTGTGCGGCCTTTCTAGCTATGCTTACACACTTTCACTAGAACCACACGGTCTGCTTTCAGGTTGATCTACCCTGGGCGGCCAGGCCCGGGATTGCTGGTGGTTTTTTAATGATCTCCACAAGGAGCCCCCTTTTTGGCTATTTGTTTTTTGCACAGTTAGTTACAGAAGTCTGAAAAAGGTGAACCTCCTGGAAATACTGTGTTACGAGGTGCCATTGTTGTGATGCACCTGATGCTATACATCAATGTTTAATTTTAGCTTTATAAATATAATTCAATGAGGGGTTCTATTGTATTCCTCAACAGAAACTGCAATTTAGTATTTATATCTAAAATTGACGTTCAAAGTTGTTTTTAGTTCTTAAGGTTCTTTAGGTAAAATTTAGATTTTTCCAGAAGTTGTACGAAAACCAAATGACTTTGCATTCGAGTGTCCTGTTTCAGTAGTTTCAGCAAACTTCATTTTAACACTGCTATTTCTTTTTTAATCCTATATCATGTGTTTTTATGAAAATGCCATGTAAAACATGTCTACAATTCATTGGTAGGTGAAAGTTTAAATTGTCTCAATTCTATCTCAACAGGTATATATACTGTGATGAAATTGACCTGACTGCAGACACTGTGCTGGCCACTCTCTATGCTGCCAAAAAGTATATTGTCCCTCACCTGGCACGTGCCTGTGTCAACTTCCTCGAGACAAGCCTGAGCGCCAAGAATGCCTGTGTGCTGCTCTCCCAGAGCTGCCTGTTCGAGGAGCCGGAGTTGACACAGCGCTGCTGGGAGGTGATTGATGCCCAGGCTGAGCTGGCATTACGTTCAGAGGGCTTCTGTGACATTGACTCCCAGACCCTGGAGAGTATCCTACAGCGAGAGACACTCAATGCGAAAGAGATAGTTGTGTTCGAGGCTGCACTTAGCTGGGCCGAGGCCGAGTGCCAGAGACAAGATCTTACATCTTCTACTGACAACAAGCGTAAGGTCCTGGGTAAGGCCATGTTCCTCATACGTATCCCTACAATGGCTCTGGATGACTTTGCCAACGGAGCAGCCCAGTCTGGCGTGTTGACACTTAATGAGACCAATGACATTTTTCTGTGGTACACAGCGGCCAAAAAGCCTGAGCTGAAGTTTGCAAGTCAGCCTAGGAAGGGCCTGGCACCACAGCGCTGCCACAGATTTCAGTCCTGTGCCTACCGAAGCAATCAGTGGCGCTACCGGGGCCGCTGCGACAGTATACAGTTTGCTGTGGATAAAAGAGTTTTTATCGCCGGGTTTGGTTTGTATGGATCTAGCTGTGGCTCGGCAGAGTACAGTGCGAAGATAGAGCTGAAGCGTCAAGGTGTACTGCTGGGGCAAAACCTCAACAAATACTTCTCCGACGGATCCAGCAACACCTTTCCAGTATGGTTTGAATATCCAGTCCAAATTGAGCCTGATACCTTCTATACTGCCAGTGTGGTTCTGGATGGAAATGAGCTGAGCTACTTCGGTCAGGAGGGGATGACAGAGGTACAGTGTGGTAAAGTGACATTTCAGTTCCAGTGCTCCTCAGACAGCACCAACGGCACAGGTGTACAAGGAGGGCAGATTCCAGAACTTATCTTCTATGCTTGACAACAGTACTTCTTTCATTTTAGTGCACTTAATGAAGCTGAAATTGATCAGTTGTGTATAGTGAAAGGTGTAATTTATTTTCGTTGCAGCTTGATATTCTGTGAAATGTTTTCTTTACTTGTTTGGACTTGAGTAAATGGTCCAACACCAGGTCAATTTGCCCCTTCACCATTTCAAGGCACGTGCCATTTTAACCCAGTTTTAGTTGTACTAAAGCAGCATGTGTAGATTAATGACAGTTTTTTACAGTTAAGTATTTTCATAAATCTTGAAGGTGAATAGCCATAGAAATCATTAAAGCAACACTGTGTAAGTTAGAACTGAAGAATTTGCTCAAATAAGACATAATAAAAGATTTTTCACATTAGTATAGATCACTTGGTGCACACTAATGCTCTGTGTAGACTACCCTTATCACAAACTCGTGTATGTAACCTGAGAGGGTCAGATCCACTACTGAATGAGTCGTGTGATTTAGAGTGCCACTTTGTAGCAATATGAGCTCCACTTAAACACGAGCCAAATTTGTTAGAAGTTGTTAGACAAAATAAACATACAACACTTAACTGGTTAGACATATTTTTGTTCCTTTACATAAAATTTTGTCTAGAGGGATGAATTTGGCCTTGTCTCGACGAAAAAAATTCACGAATTCTCGTTCTGCTGCATCAAAAGTCTATCAGATTCCAAAACGTGGATGCAAACTATTGAATTTTGCGACAGTACAGTGCTGCCAATGGTCTTCAGACTGCAGGCACTAAACCTGGAAGTTAAAGGGTTTAGAATCTATAATCCTGCAAATTACATTACATAAAAATGTATGTAAAATGGGTTAATTTTTCCCAACAAAACAAAATGCTCTTCTCATAGTGATATTTGAACCCCCAGTTGGATGTAAAGTTTGGTTTAGAGGGAAGTCTTCCCAATTCGTAGATATTTTAGATTACAAATTCTTACTGAACAGCTGTTCTGCTCGTTACCTAGTTTATTTCATTCTTCATTGACTGAGTTACAAACAGTATTACTTTTTGTGAGAGGTAAATTGTAACTAGAACTACTTACTTTTTTGAGTTATTAGATGAACAATGATTTCAAGTATTATTTATTTTTATTCTAAAGCTGGATATGTACGTACACATGAAAATATGCAGGATCGTCAGGATCCTCTCTGGCTTTAAACTGCACTTTTTTGTTGATGTAAATTTAGTTACCTTCAGAAAGAAAGGAAAATATATTGTTAGCTGCAGAGATCAAGATGTTTTGGCATAAAATGTGAAAATCAAATCAGCCTCAGAACAAAAACCTTGAAGATGGTAGCTGAAGCTGGGAAGCTGTATATATATATATATATATATATATATATATATATATATAGTATATAAAACCCTGAAATTTTAACTGAGTTCCCAAGTTTTGAGCACTTATGAAGTAGTGCAAGCGTAGGGAGAAATTGGTTCCAAGCATTTCCAGCTCCACAGCACAGAATCTGGTCTAATCGCCTAGTTAAGTGACCAGGATGAGGCAGGGTTTTGACTTTCTGGACATGGATTATCCACCTCTGCTGAGAATTATTTATTTAGAAATCTGCAGCACGCAAAAAAAAAAAGATAAGCATTGGTCTTGAGAGTGCTTTATCTGTTTAATACATATAGCATTTACAACCTCACAATCAGATAAATGTGTGTGTGTGTGTGTGTGTGTGTGTGTGTGTGTGTGTGTGTGTGTGTGTGTGTGTGTGTGTGTGTGTGTGTGTGTGTGTGAATTACATACCATAAAAAAAAAATGTATGTATGAAATGGCGAAGGGTCAAAATTACCTAAACCAAGGTGTAGGACCATTTAAAACATTAAGTCTCGGAGTTATCCAAATAAATAGATGAACTACCTTGATGTCTTGCTTTTGAACAAATAAAAAATACCTTGCACTATAAGTGCATGTACATATGAAGATATGTAAATTTTGAAAAATATATCTGGTGCCACAGTTGTGGCCAATATTCACTGTATAGATATCTTATATGATAAAAAAAAATACTACAGTATGTTTATTAATTCTATACTTGCACAGAGTGCACATATATATCAGCAATACTTTATATTCTTAAATTCTATGGTGATTACTTCATCCCAGGACTGGGTCTCTGGAACTTCATCAAGGATGTGGAAAATACTGTATAGCATTTTAAAAACAACACTGTTAATATTGAAAACACAGTTTACATAATGAATATGAGTAGCTAATATTGTTTAATTTGCATTTAGGTGGTTTACATTGAACTGCTGCCCTTTGGATATTGTAGTCGAAGCATAATAAGAATCAAATATACCTCCTTTTTGTAACTGTAACACATTAATCTGCATTTGCACCGACCAACATTTTTAGTGGGAGGTGTTGCTTAACAATAGCCTAATTTTCAATGCTGCAATGTTTGACATTTACAAAACATAAACAGGAAATTGCAAAACCCAAACAACCTGCTGTAAATGCACAGGTCTCATTCAGGTCATTTTCATCTGATTTTAACATAAAAGGATGGACAACAGCATGTCTGGTTGAAATCGCTTCTATTTTAGTTTTTCTTCTTCTTGATAAAAACATTTTGAACATTGTAGTTAATATTGTCATTTATTTACCCTTATCCAGTGAAGTAAATTTCTAAATAGCATATCATTGCCTTAGTTAGTTTTTCTTGTAAAATAAGAGCCTGACTAATGTGGGTATGTTTTTAGCTAGAGTAGAACTTGGAGCATCACCTTTCACCACTTCCTGTTGGAATTTTTTTCAGTCACTTGACTAAACTGATCTTCACTGCAGCACGTCTCACAACAAGTGGATCTGTCACATCTTATATCTATGTACGGCTCATCAATGTGGCACCTTGCTTTTGTTTACAGTAAAATTATAAGTGACCAGTAAAGCATTAGAAAACTGCTGTTTATCTGCTGGACTTCTTTAAAAAATGATGTGCACTCTAAATCAATGAGCTCCTAATGTGAACAAACAGTATTTGTATTTGCGGACCTTTGCACTGATGTTGTGTATAAGTTTATTTTGTTTTATTCACTGATTTTTAATGGAGGTAATTATTTGGGAGGGTTTACTATGCTACTGATTCTTTCTGATGTGGGATAAATGTTCTCAGGCTTGTCTGCTGGTGGCAATGAATGAGTAAACAGGTGCATATGTCCTGTGTTTTATGTGCTACAGTGCTGGAAGACCAACGAATGTGTATGACTGTGTATGATGCAAATAAACAAAAAATGTATATACTGATTGTGTGTTTTGTCTCTGCAATAGTGTAAAACACAGGATGTTAAATAAGGATATGGGATGAAATCTCGCTTCAGTTCTGCTGGGAATTTTAATGTCAAGTTTAACTTCCAGTTAAATGTCTGTGAGTCATTTTGACAGGCTTCAGTTTTCTGTCAAATCCAAACTGTGTTCTGCCTTTTATTCAAACCTCATCTTACTTAAAATCATTTCAAGGATATGCAGTTCTGTAAAGGTGGGAGGGAAGATTAAGAGCTTAATCCGATTCTTTTAATTTAGTTAGAAAGAAAGATTTAATAAAAGAAATAATAACAAAAATATAATATATAGCAACCTGCCTTCTCCTGCTTCCTCCCATCTTAATATCTATCAGAACTATAAAACAGCAAAGCTTTTTTACAACTTTGTCCCATGGTATTCCATTGAATTGTCTTAAATGTCAAACATATACCAATGACCTTCCTAACGGCAAGCAATAAAACGTCTCAAAAAGAATGCGTTTTAAAGAAATCTTTCACAGAGAAGTACTTTCTAAAGGCTTATATAATCTACTATTGGAGTTGCTGATGCACCTCAGTATAATTGCTGGAATTTCTAAACTCTGAAAACATATTTTGCAAGCTAAAGACTTCTTATTAGTGATTTACCAATTACTTTTCTGCCCCATTTCAAGCTGCAGCAGGTAACTTTTGTTAAAGTCTACTGTCACCACGTCCTGATATTACAATATGGGACAGATTAATTTTGCGGGGATAAAAAAAAACAAAGCTCCATTTCCTTCTCCCACTGGACCTTGTGACATTTGCAAAAATTCACTGCTCAGAAAGAATGAATGAGAACCAGGAGGCCTGTCTTAGCATAGTTACATGCACAGCCTCTCGCCTGCACAGTACCTTCATTTATATCCAATATTTATACTCAGTATTGCTAATGTGATGTATGCATCAGAAAATGTATATCGTTGATGTTTTTTCTGAACCTGTAAATGTGCCATAGCTGCTTACTAGCCTTTATGTTTATGTCAGGTTCTGTTTTGGAGGGAGGGCTGGCGCCCCACAGAGACTTAGGGGGAGGGATCTGTAAGGTGCACCGTTTCACTTTTTTTTAGGATAAGTCCATAGTTTTCTCATTACTCCCAGTTGCAGCATGTTTATTAAACAAGTAACAAAAGGTTTTGCTCAATCTATTCATTGCTTACCTAAACAGGACCTCAGAAGAATCACAAGACTTCATATGATGTAAAATCAACGTTTTCACATGCAGCCAAGATCATAATGATTTATTCTTCTGTAAAGTTAGATTATAAATTTTTTTGTCTCTCAACCAACAAGTTTTAATCTGAAAGGAAACTATAAGGGCATCCTTAAAAGATAGCAAAGCATGTAACCATGTCATATAATTAGCAATTAAAAGAAAATAAAAATTCTTTAAAAATATTAATACCAACATTACAAAAGGTGAACTATTTTCACATTAGTACTTCGATTTATTGAAAGATTCCACAGTTTTTTTTGACAATTTTGATTGGTGATGGGTATTTTTGTATAGCATATTTTATTAGGTTAAAACAAGAGCCTATTTGCCATCACTCTTAGCTTTGTCAAAATGATTCTCATTAAAATAGATTAAAGACTCAGTGTCAGCTTCTTGAAAACATTTGTGGTACTTCAAGTCTGAATACAGATGTTGCAAAATAAAATATTGAAAGGCAACATAAGTTATGCTAAAAGATACGAATACGTTTGGCCTGAACTGTGTAGAACTTATATCTTTAATCTTAAGGTTAGATGTAGCTGAAGATGTGACATTTAGTTTTTCATGAATGTTGAATAACTGTGGTTGTTTTAGTTCATCATTTTTGGAAACTTGAATTTTTCTCTTTTGCAAAAAGATTATTTCAAAATGCAAATGAAAAGACTGTGAAAGAAGCCTAGTTGAGAATTGTTTGCTGAGTGTCAAGCTATTGTTAAATTGACCTTCATGTGCTGGTGGAGGGAAAGAGTCCCTCCAACCAGCTTTTTAACAGAGTATTCCTAATTGCAACACAATGCTTTGCAATGTTAATCAAGGTTATCAATTGCAAAAAAAAAAAAGTTTTTTAATATCAAATTGAAATAATTAAGCTTCAAATATGTGACCAGGGTACTTCAGCTACAGTCTCAGTATGTGGGACTATCCAAAGTCCTTGATTAGCTGACCTCTGAGGAGCTCTGCCAGAGGACTGGGGCTTAAACCGTTAATAATGTGAATGCTATTTTTGGGGCCCACTTTGAGCCCCTAATTGAGGAATTGAGTGAGGAATTTTTAAATGCCATATTATATTAGGGCTTCTTTTTTTTTTACAATGTATATCTCTTTATAATATATTTCCAATAGAAGAAATTAACCATGTTAAAGTGTTTTCTGAAGTATTTCAGTTAACTATCTTTAGTCCAAGCCTACTACAGTCACCAGATCGTATTTTCTTGGGATCTCATAGAACAGGAGATATGCATCAAGATTCTTCTGCAAAAAGAATTGAGTACATATTTTGTTAAATGCTAAAACAACAACCGCATGCAGAGACCAAACCTTTGTGTCACTTTTGATGCATAAACAAACCCCTGGGCCTCTGGTGAGAGATTTCCTCCTTTTGTTCCCACTGAACCCTTTTTTATTCAAACCTATAATTTCATAATTCTTTGGTATTTGTCACAGTCAGTTCAATAGACAGTGTTGCATGAGGAGGTGTGGCAGAAGGGAGTCTGCTCCTAATGATCAACAAGAACTGAGTCAAGGCTTCAATACAATGCGGAAGTTAAAGGCTGCATGAAGGAAGAAAACCACAAAAGTCCCCAGATTTTATTCTGCAAGGGCTCTTCACTCCCCGCCTTGTTTGCTGCAGGCAATCCACTGCTCGACATTCTAATAATTTCCTTTGCAGCAAAATGTAAATGAATTAATAATAGCTAGAGAGAGAAAGGAAGCTCAGCTGTGGGTGTGAAGAATTTATCAAAGAAAATTATTTCTGTATAGGATTTTTAATTGAACCTCATTCACACCTAAAGGAAATCTCCCTTT